GCTGGATTCATGTTGGAAAAATCATGCGATCTACCTGGTAACCACCTAGTTCAATCGGAACCGGCCACAAGCCAGTTGCGATTTTGGACAGTTTCAATCGGAATTGGCCACGAGCCAGTTGCGATTTTGGACGGTCTTGGTGATCAGCTGGTATTTTAAAAGAAAAAAATTCAAAAAAATGTATATAAAATCCAAAAAATAAGAAATTTGGTTTGTAATACATTTTTTAATATTCTTTATATTACGTTAAAGATAATAAATTGTTTTGGTCATTAATACTCACTTTTATATTTTTCCATCTTTTTCAAAAAAAATTAAAAAATACTTCTAGGCACAAATCAAATCAATTTTTTCATTAATTTTCAACTTCATTTGAATATGTTTTGTTTTAATTATTTTTTATATATTTTTCATATTTTAGTAAAAGAAATGTGTATCTTTTTTATTTTTTTAACAATTTTTTGACCGCCCGGGACTTGTCCAGTTAAAACGGTTGAGTTGAATCGGCTGGTTTACCGGTTAGGCCGGTTAAACCGCTTTTGGCCTCATTTTTGGTTAACCGTTAAGTTTCGATTTTCCCAACACTAGGCTGGATTGCATTTTTACAATATGCAGTCCTGAGGTATAAGGCATCCATCTTTAAGATGGATGCAAATAGGTGGTCCATCTAAAAACAATTGAAACTAACGGTCCAAATGTTTTCTTAATAGGATTATTATTTCTAACTTTAAAATGTATTTATTTATTCATATTTCTGATCTCCATGTTAGAGAATACATGCCCTTAAAAATTAAGTCAAAAAATCCATCTCAAAAATAATTTTTTAAAAGGTGACTCATTTCTACATGGATTCATAGAAATTGTGTCCAAAAATAAATAATCTCATTGTATACATTTTTTTTATTCAATAAGAGCCTATACTATAATACTATTTATTTTTTGTATAAGAAGGTGGTCAAAATCGCTCCTAGCCACCCAATGTGAAATCATGTAGCTAGGAATGGCCCACAAAATTCGAGATAAATTTCCTTTGAACCTTGAGTTTGTTTAACGGCATATGCCCAACAGACCGACTTCACATCTAAAGGCCAACATTGATTGTGACAGTGTTGTAGTATATTTCCCCTTTTAAACAAACAAGAGTGATATTTTATTTAAATTAATCATCTACATTATTCAATATTTTTAAAATCTAGTCCTCTACATTCTTCAGAGATAAAAGACGGGGTTTCTAGAAGGCTCCAGTTTGGGCGTATCAATGGGGGTGTGTCCCACATCACAATTACCCTATTCCTTTTTAAAATTAACTTATGAAAAAAATAAGATTTTTCTCTAACAATAGATATCTTGAATTAATCTTAAATAAGTTTAAAACTAAGTGAGAATGGGTTGGAGTTGTGGTGGTAGTATTATTTGTGCGCCAGCTAAAATCTAAACTTTCATTATCACCTAACACATTAAAAAACCACTAATGATTTAAAAAAACGGGTAGGAGCTCATCAACCGTTGCATTGGATCATTGCTCTTACAATAAATATAAGTTTAATACTAAGTGAAACATAGTAAAAGTGTTAATATGGGCATCACGTAATATGTCTTTTTATTATATAAAAAGAAAAAAAAAATTAGGGAGGGGGTATGGGATTGTAGTGAAGGGATTTGATGAAATATTGAGGTAAAGTGCAACACTTCCTAAAAGGGGCAAAAAATAAAAAATAAAAGTAAAACAAAAAATATTTCTTAAAATAATTTTTTTTTTGGAGGATTAATATGATTTCTTTTTACAAAAATATCACATTTCTCATTTGGAATATGAAAATCCCAATCTTCATCCTACTTGCAAAAAGGCAAAATGCGTATTGCAATTAAACTAGCAATAAAACGTGTGTTGCAGCCAAATGCAATTAAACTAGCAATAAAACGTGTGCTGCAGCCAAAACAGCAGTAACGACTAATAGCAATTATGACCTATTTGTATCAAAGATAAATGGTAATCCGATAAAAGTTGTAAAATTTTGGATCCAAAATCTTCCTAAACCCTACAAAATTCTCTTTTACTTATTCAAAGTAGAAGTGATGGACCTGCAGGACTATAAAACCGGCAAGCGTGCCCAAGTATATAAATATGCCTGCAAGCATTAGGGATGGCTCAACATAATGTCCTGCCCTCTATTTCCATATTAACAAATTCCAAATTCCAAAAAAAGAAAGAAAGAAATACGCAAATACATTTGTAAGAGTCGGAATGAAGGGGCACCAAGTAGCATAGCTCTAAGGAAAAGGCTTATATATATATATATATATATATATATTTTTGATAAACTTTATATTATTTTATTCAAGAGTTAAACATAAATTACATCATTAAAGACTAAAATCTCAGAAAGAGAAGTACGTTTTTAGCTAGACTATCAGCCAAAACATTAGCCTCTCGGTAAACGTGGACAAAGGAAAGAAAAAAAGACCGGAACAAGTCTAAAATATAAAGCAAAATATAACGCAATTCCCAACGTGCTTTCATCTCCCCCCTTGCATCAATTGATAACATTGAGGGAATCTCCTTCAATAATGCAAGTCGAACTTAAAAATGGATTGCTAAGTAATTTCAGGCCATGAAAAAGAGGCAGAAATTCAACGTGATTTGCAGTTTGCTCACTCAAAGGACCTGAATAAGAAAAAAAAATATGTCATTCCCAATCCCTCAAAACTCCTCCAAGACCTGTTGGACCTGAATTACCAAGCGAGCTTCCATCAAAATTAAGTTTCAAAACACCTTTAATGGAGCGGTTCATCTCCCTTTAGGCCTACATTTCCAATAACCCAGCTGGAAAATATTGTATAGATTTCTCCTAACATCAACTTCTATAATAGCCCTATCCACCTTTTTGACAGACAAAAACATCCAAATAGAATAGAGTATACAATCCAAAATTATATATACCAGTAAACAATTACCATCAAACACTTTTCTATTTATCTCATTTCACATCTCCCATAAAATTACACCTCTTGCTATTTGCCAAATCACAGTACCAGTTTGAGGTAAAGAAGAGACAGATAATGCTCCAATAATTCCTCTAACATCTGGAGGTAAGATTAACACCAATTTAACCTGAGCAAAAAACAACTCCATATACTTACTAGTAAAAGGGCAATGTAGAAAAAGATGAGTACCTGATTCAACATCCCTTTTACATAACAAACGTATATTAGGTTTCCCACTTTTAATGAGATTATTTGTAGTCAACACCTTGTTTTGAACCGCCAACCACAGAAAAGCATGGATCTTAAGAGGAAGTGATCACTTCTAGATAATAGCAATCTCAGGCGTTGACCATCTCTATCAATCATGAAATAATATATGGTACATAGATTTGACCGAATAGACACCATCTTTTGCAATATCCCAGACCACATTATCTTCCGCATTAAAGGGTAAAATACACTTCATTCAGCACTAATAACAAACCACTAAACTCCGAAAAAAGCTCATCGGGAATTCTATTATAAGGTAAAATAATTTTCCACTCAATCTGATTCCCCCTCATTTCAAACAGATCCGAAATCAACGCATTGGAATTACCCACCTTGTTGAAAACCAAAAGAAACTCATATTTTGGCGGAGAGTTATCTAACCACTTATGGTGCCAAAATGAGATATTACTTCCATCACCTATTGTCCATCTGATATCTCTATGAATAAGAGCCTTACATGAGTAAATAGATCTCCAGCAATGTGACATCCTTCTGCTACCAAGCCTGCCTCCAACCCACATTTTGAATCTATCATCACCATACTTCGACTTCATCACTTTATACCAAAGCTGGTCTTTAAAATTTAAACTTCTCTACCACTATTTACAGAATAAAGCCTGATTAACCGACTTGATTTTGCTAATCCCCAAACCTTTTTTTTCTTTTGGTGTACACATTCTATCATATCTAAGAATATGAATTTTTTTTGAGTTCCCCAAAGGAAGTTCCTCATAGGCAATTCAATCTTTCTGGCCACCGAAAAAGGGAACTTGATGAATTAACATCTGATAAATTGGGAGATTAGCTAGACATGCTTTAATCAAAGTGATCCTATCACCCAAGAAAGATATTTGTATTTCTACAGATCAAGCTTAATTTGAATCTACTGAATTACTTTATCCCACATTGTCATAGGCAATCGACCATCTGAAATAGGCATACCAAGATACATAATTGGGAAGTGGTCCACATTAGAACGCAGCGCCTCTGCCAAAACAGTCACCACCGAATTAGAAGAGAAGCACCCGAAAATCCAATTTCTCAATTTTTTCCCAAACCCCATATTCTTTATGATTTCTAAAAGACGCTCCGTTCCACCCTATCATAAGCTTTTTCCGTATCCAGCTTGATCACAATTCCAGAAGCACCGTCAAGAATCCGTGAATGAATGTACTCTTGGGCTACCATAACACTGTCCGTAATCAATCTATCCTTAATACACTGTCCGTGATCAATCTATCCTTAATGCACTGTCCGTGATCAATCTATCCTTAAACAATCAAATTAAGGCACACCATAAAAATTCATTATCAATTTTAAAATCTTGAAGTGTTCATAAATTTGCTCGATCTACACCATTTTTTAATATTTAAATTTTATAATTAGAGATGAAATGAATTTTCAGACCATCATAAATATTTCTAATGCTAAAAAAATAATAATTCGCCTCGATTTGAAGGTGTGCCTTCCTTTTGATTGTTTAAGGGCTCGGCCTTACACAAACAGCACCCTTAAAGGAAATAAATCATTAAAAACACGAAAGAACAAGCCAATTACAAAATTACCTCTAAATATATGCTTCCACAGAACTACAGAAGGATCGTAACATAAATAAGGGTCGTTTGTTTCATACAAATTTCTCCCCTATGGCTCTTGCAAATGTTTACTCCCATAGAGAGCTTCCACATTTTGGACGGATCGCACATGGCTAAACAGTTTCATACCTCTCTAGATAGGGAAATGGTTTATAGGGCTGCAGCCCTATAAAAATAAGTAGAGCCGTCATTGAAAATTGTAATTCAAGTACATTGATCATCTCAATTTGAACATTATAGTTTGTGTATTTTAACAAATTATCTTGATCGTCCATTTTATCCTAAAAATAAGTGTTACAAAATCAACAAGGTTTATATAATTTTTCAAGTTCAAATTTTATTGTCGGTGTTTGAAATTGATTTTAGAGCCATCGTAAGAGATTTCCGTGGCCGAAAGTGTTTTCTAGTTAAGGTGAAGCTTTATTTGGTTTTCATAGAACCTAAGCCTTATAAAAACCCATCCCGATGCCCTTACATGGGTAAGAAACCACTCTGATGATCCAAACATAGAAAGTCGAGGTATTCCCCAAATTCCTTGTCGGAAAAAGCATTTATATGAATCAAATAAATGTATCCACAAAAGCAGTAGCGAAGCCGGAACCAGAGGTATGCAACAAATTCCTTTCAGATAAAGCAGTTATATGAATCAAATAAATGTATTCACAAAAGCAGTAGGGAAGCCGGCACCCCGCCAGCTGTGGAACCAGTCGGAGACGGAGCCAAATCCAGCGTTGAAGCATATTGTTTTGCAGGTTGAAATGAAGCAGTAGCTGGAGAAGAAGCAGTTTCTTTTGTCCGAATAATGAAAATGCTTCCGATATGGATTCAAAAGAGTAAGAGAAATCAACTGCAGAGCCCCAAACAGTCCTTGTAAAACCATCCTAAATGTATGGGAGAGGCAAAAGAAATTAAAAATTCCCATCATGAACGAGTGTGTGTGTGAGAGAGAGAGAGAAAGCAATTGTTTTACTCCATGTTTTAAATGCAAAGAGGCTTCCATTATTGCAAGCTGAAGGTCTTTCAAGTTTTCATTGTCTACTTTAAGTTTATTGGAGAGACATAAGAACAAATACATATACATATCTCTCAACACAATTTACACCAATGTACAGAGAGTGTTGAAGCCATGGTGATTGATTGGAGTTGAAGCTAAAGCTAAGTTGATGCTTCAGCCTTGCAAATGGGGCACCAATTCTTCAATCTCAACCACTCCTCAATGCAACCAACATGGTATCGATGTTCACAATTCAAGTCACCAACTTCATCTCCATCAACATATTCTTCCTGTAAATTTGAAATAAGACATGAATTCTTATAAGTACATATCCCAATTTGATGAATTATTGCAAATAAATAACCCAATTTTTTTTCCTTTCCAAAGGGTGAACTACTTCAAGTCTACTTAGTTCAATGGAGTACGGAAAACAACAGTTCACTGGGGTCATGACAAAAAGTGAAGAGAGAAAGAGAGAGAGAGAGAGAGAGAGAGAGAGAGGGAGGGGGAGGGGGGGAGGGTCGGGGGTTGGGGTACGGTACGTACGTAGTAGGTACGGTCTACTACTTCTTCCTCGTCGTCTACTCGTCGTACTAACTACTACTACGACGA